TAATTATTTAATATACTTAAATAATCTTTTTTTAAAAAACCCAATGAGCTAGAGCTTAGATGTTTGGCATGAAACATCTTCTTATGGGTGTCTACCAAGTTTGTTCAAATAAAAGCCCTGGGGTCAAAATTGGCCCTGCCCCAGAAACTACTGGGCAGATTTACTTTAAATTTGGTTTGTAACATCCTTGTAACAGTCACACTTGAATTTGCTCATGTCATTCCAATTGGCCCCTTTTTAGGGTTATCTAGGGCTAAATATAGAAAAACCTTTAAACACCTTCTTCTACAGAACTAATGGATGAATGATCACCAAACTTTGTCTGTAGCATTCTTAGGTAGTCTTTTATCAAGTTTGCTCATATTAATTTGATTGGCCCCTTTTAGGGGTCTCTAGGGCTAAAAATAGTAAAACCTTTAAACATCTTCTACAGAACTAATGGATGGATGATCACCAAACTTTGTCTGTAGCATTCTTGGGTAGTCTTTTATCAAGTTTGCTCATAAGAATTTGATTGGCCCCTTTTAGGAACCACTAAAGCTAAAAATAGAAAAACCTTTAAACGTCTATTTCTACAGAACTAATTGATGGATGATCACCAAACTTTGCCTGTAGCATTGTTAGTTAGTCTTTAATCAAATTTGCTTATAATATTCTGATTGGCCCCTTTTAGGGGTCTCTAGGGCTAAAAATAGGAAAATCTTTAAACATCTACTCCTACAGAACTAATTGATGGATTATCACCAAACTTTGTATCATTCTTGGGTAGTGTTTTATCAATTTTGCTCATATAGATTTGATTGGCCCCTTTTAGGGGCGGCTAAAGCTAAAAATAGAAATATCCTTAAATGTCTATTTCTAGAGAACTAATTGAAGGATGATCACCAAACTTTGTCTCTAGCCTTTTATCAAGTTTGCTCATATTAATTTCATTGGACCATTCAGCTGACAATCTACATAAGCAAAGTTATTTCTACTCAAAATTTATGAAATATGTATAAAAATGTAATCCTGCCCCACCTATTTTTACACATGTTTGACTATTTTCCTATATAGGGAGCCTGATTTAAAAAAAAACCCGTAATATTTACCGAAATCAGTGCGTGTTTTCAAAGTTTCCCTTATTCTTTAAAGAATTGTATTGTTTGAACTTGTTAAAGAGTAAATACTTTTACCATCTAGTTTTGATTTCAATAGCCTATGCTTTGAAAATATCAGATACCATATTTCTTACTATATTTAGCCATTTATTACCAATATAAATTGAATAAACAAAATTAAACAAACTCTTTGTTATTTTCAAACGGGATATGAGAGATAAAAAATGTTTTAAGAAAAAAAAGAAAGAAGAAAAAAAATGTCGCTTCTGAGGTTTGAACCTACGGCCTTCAGTTTCAATGTAGTTACAGTAGTGCTAGACTACTTGAATACCCTTCAAAGCAGAGGTAATGCATTAGGATGATCATATAAATCATTTTAGGTTTAATTCAGATAGTTCATTTAATTCAGATAGTTCATATCCATTACAAAATGCTTGTTTTTCATTTTTATGTAACTAACGTGTTGAAGGGAATTTTCACGAAGAGTATTCTATATCTACACTGACAATTTATAAATTATCATGGTGTGTAATTCTCATGAGCACCGTTTTATTTCCCGCCAATAGTTTTCCCATTCGGAACTGCCTCGGCTATTATCTATAATAACCTCGGAAACAATACGGATTGAAGTAGTTCTACCACGTGGTTTCAGATGTAAACAGAAACAGAGATAATGTAAAACGAATGTATATATTTGACATCTAATGTCTGTTCCGGTACTCTTATGCTTGAAAATATGTCTGACAACAGTTTGTAATTTAAATATGCCCACTGATGTTCAGTTTAAACAAATCCGACTAAATGTCAACAGGTTGGTTTTTAGTACTTTCTGTTTCTACAACCATAATAATAAATATATAAAGAATGTATTGTTTGCTTTTGTACCTATGAATTCACTTATTTTAGGTAGACCTTCACTTCATATATTGGAAATAAACTTGTCAACAACTCCCAGCATTAAATTACTACTTGTTTACATGTTTAGTTTGTTAGCGTAGGTTAGACCGAAATACCGCATCCGTTCTGTGTATTCATACTATTGTGTTCGAGGTCCTTATCCGAAGACTGACGGAAAGGGCCGAGTAGTTACGATTGTAGTTTTCCGCCAGAAAGACCAAAGGAATTATGTAAACAAATGATCATCGTCTGATTGTGTTGTGGGTAATTAAATTTCAACGTTTTTCTCTCGAGATTTTAGTATTTTTTGTGCATTTTCATAAGAGACAATTACTTTGTGGACTAAAACAACATAATGACCCTGAACTTTACATATCTGGTTCTAAAATTCCAGTAGTTGATGAAGCTAAGTTTCTAGGAATTATATTTGATAAAAAACTTTCTTTTATACCGCATATTAAACATTTGAAAACCAAATGCCTAAAAGCTTTAAATTTACTTAAGGTTTTATCAAGTACAAATTGGGGATCAAATTCTTCCACATTACTGAAACTATACAGAAAATAGATAAATACAGAATCCCTAAAGAAAGCCCAACACGGCAAAATTGAAAATGTTGCAGGCTCGGTTTGATTGAGCCTGTTCATGGACGGTACTGGAAAGTGCAAGTTACCGTCCACGCCCCCTAGCACCGGCTTAAGCAGAATTCAACATTTAAACGTGAAATAGTAAAATTTTGAATTTAGAAACATCCGCAGATGTGTTCATACGGCGGTTATCAAGGAACCTTCAATGTGACACTTCCGTGCCATTCCATGAAAAGCGGCGTATGGTCCCCAAGTAATAAAAAGTGTGTGCCCTAAACGAGAAAACAATGGGCGGAACTAAATAAAATGGAATTTTGAAAGGGGATCAGAGGTTATGAAGCCTGCGTATCACAGATAAGACGTCAAAAGACAAATTTAAAAAGCAGGCAACATATCCTAAGGGTGATTCAACATTATTGAAGTAGGAATATTGGAACGACCCAACTAGAAAATGCCGAAAAGTTGAAACTAAAAATACCACAAGCACAACAATTATGTCGTGCTGAACGATCTTCAAGGATCGAAAATATAACATCATTGATTAAATGTACGGGGAGACTTTTTACAGCCGCCACACGGCACATATAACACGGATGTGATCATAAAATAGATAAATACAGAATCCCTAAAGAAAGCCCAACACGGCAAAATTGAAAATGTTGCAGGCTCGGTTTGATTGAGCCTGTTCATGGACGGTACTGGAAAGTGCAAGTTACCGTCCACGCCCCCTAGCACCGGCTTAAGCAGAATTCAACATTTAAACGTGAAATAGTAAAATTTTGAATTTAGAAACATCCGCAGAAGTCTTATCCGATCAAAATTAGATTATGGTTCTGTAGTATATGGGTCTGCAAGAAAATCATATCTTCAAATAGTAGATACCATACATCACCAGGGTTTACGTTTAGCTTTAGGTGCTTTTCGCACTTCACCTGTAGAAAGTCTATATGCGGAAGCTGGGGAACCATCGCTTTATCTTCGTCGTAAAAAGCTATCACTTCAATATGCAACTAGAATTTCATCTAATAGGAAAAATCCAGCTAAAAATATTATTTTCAAACCAAGTTATACTGAAAAATTTGTTAACAAACCAAAGGAAATTAAACCATTAGGCCTTCGTTTAAAAGATGATTTAGATAAACTTAAAATTAATCCAGACAGTATCCTTCAAAATGACGATGAGGATGTTCCACCTTGGACTTATAATTCCCCGGAAATAAATATTAACCTTTCAAATATAAAAAAGGCATCAAATTCACCTGAATATTTCAAAGAGAAGTTTCTAGCAATTAAGGAAGAACATGAAGATTTTATACATATTTATACGGACGGTTCAAAAGAAGGTTGCAAAGTAGGTGCGGCTGTGTTTGAAAAAAAATTTACATCTAGTATGAGGTTACCAGATAATGCATCAGTTTTTACTGCTGAAGCAAAAGCTATCGATTTAGCATTGTCATACATAGCACAGCATACCCACGATAAATTTGTGATATTTTCTGACTCGCTTTCTGTTTTAATATCCATTAAAAATAAGAAATCTTGGATTCCAAGCCATGTAGGAATACGAGGAAATGAAAAAGTAGATGCTTTAGCTAAACAATCATTAAATTTTCGAAAAACTGACTTATTGTTACCTGCTTGTGATTTTAGACCGGCTATAAATAAACTCGTATCATCTGAATGGAAAGCAAATTGGGACAATGCCGTTTTTAATAAACTTCACGATATAAACCCATCTCTTGATATGTCACCATCTCTATCTCTGTCAAACCGCCGTGATCAAACAGTTCTTCTTCGATGCCGAACTGGACACAATAAAATTACCCACTCTTATCTCCTCACAAATGACAATGCCCCTTTCTGTGTAGGTTGCAATGAAAATTTTACTGTCAAGCATTTTCTTCTTGAATGTCATGATTTTTCACAGGCCCGTAATAGATTTTATTCTGTAAATTCACTCAAAGAACTTTTTAATACAATTCCATCAAAAAACATAATTGATTATTTAAAAGAGATAAATTTGTATTCTAGGATCTAATTTGCTCATTTCTATTGTCATTTACAATGCTTTACATAATGTTTTAAGCCTATTATAGCATTCGGCACGATATGGCCAGTTATGTGTTGACGTGCCGTAAAAATCCAAACAAACAAACAAACAAACAAACTTTGTGGACATTTTAGTTTGTTTATTGAACAAAGGTATTTGAAGGGAACTTTCACGAAGAGTAATCTATATCTACACCGACAATTTATAAATTATCATGGTGTATTATTCTCATGAGCACCGTTTTATTTCCCGCCAATAGTTTCCCGCCAGTAAGAACAAAGGAATTATGAAAACACATGATCATCGTTGATTGTGTTGTGGGTAATTAAATTTCAGACTTATTCTCTCGAGTTTTTAGTTCTGTTTTTGTGAATTTTCATAAGAGACAATTACTTTGTGGACATTTTTGTTTGTTTATTGCCTTTATCATGAAAAGGAATGTCGAGGGTAACCCGACAAAGTGTTCGGGTTATATTCAATGCGTGAGTCCTCTGAAGAGGTCAGAGGGAAAGGGTGTTTCCTACTTCGATGGGGAGATACAGACCGGTAAGGATGAAATTCGTAGATTTGTTAGTTTCAGTCCCGAGAAACTTGACACTTTTGAATCAGCTGTGGCACTTAAAGAGGTCGTAACTTTAATAAACCCTAGATTCACAGTAAACAGAGGGAAGACAGAAATCACAATTGCTAAGAATACACAACTTGAGATTGCAACAAAACGCCTTGAATTTCCTCGTCAGGAGGTGAAATCAAAGAGTGAGGAGAAGTCTATTAATGACATAGCAGCAGCTGGTATTACAGTAAGTGACCATTTGTAATTATGTCGTTATTGCGGTACCCTGTTATTGTGTTTAAAGGTTTACTTACATGGAAATTTGTCCTTAATTTATTAAATCTATCCATATAATATAAACAAGGGATACAAGTTGTGGCCTTGCATTTACCAGCAGGGGTTCTTAAATGCATTCACACGTGTAAACTGTACAAAAAGCTTTATTACCCAAGTTGTACTACAAACTTTTCATTTAAACCTGTAACATTGCAGATAATAATTAACTTTAATATTTACATCGGCTGTCAATTTGTTGTCCATTATGCAGGTGAGGTGTGTTTATGTTATGAGAATCTCTATCCACGAATTTGAAAACCTAGCTAAACGCTTCGGTACTTTCTGTACATGGCAGATTTTGCTTTAACTTCCAGGGATGAACAACCTTCATGTGTGGATGGTAGTAAAGGAAGGAATTTTCGCTGTGACCAAATTTAACAGAATTATGGCCCTTTGTTGATTTTTTCACTATATACCAGGCCATCCTTAAAAAAAAATGTTTGTTTGCAGTAACCCGACCCAGAATTTTCAAGGTGGGTAGGTAGGTCGATTTTTTTTTTATTGAACTGTACTCCCAAATAAACATGGAATTTCAAGATGCTGGACAATATATGCTTTGATAATCTGGTAACAATGAATGAATTGATAACTGAATTCCAATTTAATAAGAACTACATTTTATTTCTTCTATTAACCTTTAAAAGAACGAAAACAAAGCACAAGGCATAATTTTCTGATTCAAAAAAAAAATAAAAAAATATTCAGGCCATGAAAAAAAAAATTAACATCTGAAATATTTTAACTCAAGAAAGTTTTATCATAAACGACTATTCTTCATAATATTCATTTTCTAGATAAGTGTATTCATCATTGTCTAATTATTGGCAGCATTAAATTCAAATCACATTTACCTTCTATTTAAATCTTATTTCTAACACAATGTTTTTTCATCTATTTGTCTTTTACATATACACCTTTTCTTCTTATGTTCATTCTTACTCTATATTAACATCTATTCGGATTATGTTCAACGGAACGCATTGGCCGATAAAAGACACGACTTGTGTAGGTGTGATTGTGATAGTTAGCTTCTTGATGCTCATAGCATCAATCACATAATGAACAAGTTATCATGTACCACTATCATGATCTCCTACACATGTCCATGGAAATTCACACTTTTATTAAACATGCTATCTCTCCTATACATTGCATCTAACATGTTTCAAACATACTCATTTTCCTTACATATAAGATATCAAGCAGAAAACAACATAAGATATCCATACAGACGATGCCTTCCGTGTCATGAGCGTTATATTCAAAACTTAGTATTCACTCATCTGTTTGTCAAAACTCTAACAAATATTATAATTATCCAATGGTTGTTTGTTATTCTTATTCTATCGGGAGATATTCATCCAAATCCTGGTCCGTTGACTCCTAATTCGTCAACCTCATCTCTATCCACTTCATCGTCTATGTCTCAGGACTTCACAGGACTAATGTCATCAAATTCTTGTTTATCTGTCATTCACTACAATGTACAAAGTCTGTTGAACAAAATAGACGTTCTTACCACTGAATTTAGTATGTTTGATATCCTTGCTTTTTCAGAAACATGGCTTAATCCAAATATCTATGATTCGGATGTCTCGATACCATGCTTTCACACTCCTGAAAGAAAGGATAGGATTGATGACCGTCACGGTGGAGTAATCTTATACATCAAAGATTCGCTTTTCTACAAACGCCGTTTGGATCTCGAACCAAGAAATATTGAATGTCTATGGGTTGAGATTATATTTTCCCAAACAAAACATATTCTGTTCGGTGTCTTCTATCGACCCCCCAATGCCGATGCACTTTACACAACTTTTATCGAGGATTCTCTTAACATGGCATTAGACACAAATATAACAGACATCATCGTCACTGGAGACTTTAATTTCAATCCATTAAATTCTACTCTGTCACGCAAACTTCTTTCTATATGTCAACAATTTCACCTTGAACAGCTAATTAATGAACCTACTCACTTCACCGAAACATCAGCCTCGGTCTTACACCTTTTTCTTGTATCTTGAAGTCATCGAGTTATTACTTCCGGTGTTGCAGAACCAGTCCTAGACCAGAACATACGCTACCATTGTCCTATTTTTGCTATCTTTTCATTTTCTAGACCAAAATTAAGCATTTTCAAACGTTTTGTATGGTTGTATGATCGAGGCGATTACAACACCCTTAAACATCACATTATGCATACAGACTGGGAACAATATAGTGACAATGATATAAATATTCACACAACAACAATAACCAATAAGATTCTTGAACTCTCAAAGCAGTGTATTCCTACAAGAACAATAACAGTTAAACCAAATGATGCAGTGTGGATCACGTCACAAATTAAACAACTTATTCGTAAACGTAAGAAACTTTACCACAGAGCAAAACGAACCCAAAATCCTATTCACTGGCACAAATTTAAACAACTTCGTAACAGAATTGTGTCACTTATTCATACTGCCAAGCGAAACCATATAAAGAAACTGGCAGATTCACTCACATCTGATAACACTATACAAAAAGACTGGTGGAGAGTCATCAAATCATTTATATCTCCGACTGAAAAACAAATCATTCCCGCACTGACATGTCCAGACTCTAACAGACTAATATTTGACAATAAATCAAAATCCGATATATTAAATAATTTTTTTTGCAGTCAGTCTTCTCTTGATAATTCTAATAAAGAAACTCCAGAAGATTTCTACGTACAGCCTGTTCGCACACTCACTTCAATCACGGTTACACCTCAAGATGTTGAGGATGCTATCAATACTCTAAATATTAATAAAGCGTCAGGGCCTGATGAAATTAGTAATCGGATATTGTGTGAAACAGCTTCCGTAATTAAATATCCACTTTGCTCCTTGTTCAACCATTCACTTCGCTGCTGCAAAGTCCCACAATCTTGGAAAGATGCTAATGTTTGTCCAATTTTTAAGAAAGGTGACCCTTCTCTGCCAAACAACTATCGTCCTATATCACTTCTTTGTTGTATGGAAAAGGTCTTTGAACGTATTTTGTTTAAATATATCTTTAACTTTTTTCATGAAAATGACTTTATATCTCCCCTTCAATCTGGTTTCAAACCCGGTGATTCAACTGTGAATCAACTAACTTTTCTTTACAATTCTTTTTGTAAAGCACTTGATGACGGTCTAGAGATACGAGTTGTGTTCTTCGACATAAGCAAGGCTTTCGACAAAGTGTGGCACAAAGGTCTCCTGATTAAGTTACAAGGAGCTGGTATTCAAGGACCTCTTCTTGATTGGTTTTCAAACTATCTGTCAAATAGACGTCAATCTGTGGTTCTTCCTGGTGCTAAATCTGATTGGTCTTCTATCAAAGCAGGTGTCCCTCAAGGTTCGATTTTGGGTCCACTTCTTTTTTTAGTTTATATAAATGATATTGTTGTAGATCTAAGGTCTTGTGTAAATCTTTTCGCTGACGATACCAGCCTTTATTTAATCGTCGATCATCCAATACATGCAGCTGAGACTCTTCAAAGTGATATAAACAAAATTTCTTTATGGGCTGATAAATGGCTGGTCCAGTTCAATCCTTCTAAATCTGAAACCATGACATTCACACGTAAATCATCTAAACCTTTTCATCCACATATTTCTATGCAAAACGATATAATATATGCATTTACTTCTCACAAACATATTGGTTTACATTTTTCTGATGATGGTTTTTGGCATACTCATATTAACTTTATAAAGGAGAGAGCTTGGAAACGTTTACATATCAAGCGTAGACTTAAATTCTAACTTGATCGTAGATCTCTTGAATTTATCTATCTGTCTTACATCTATTTTAGAATACGACGATGTTGTCTCTATAAATTGTACTCAATATGAAAAAATGAACTTGATGAAATCCAATAGGAAGCTTCTAGAATTGTCTCTGGCGCCAGTAAACTTGTTTCTCTGCATGAACTCAAACGAGAAATCCCTAAGGAATCTTAAGAGTCTAGACGAAGGAAACACTAACTCATACTTCTTTACAAACGTAAAAAAGGGCCTCTCCCCAAACTACCTTTCATCTCTTGTCCCCCTTCAGTAGGTGAGACATCAAGATACAATCTTCGCAACTCAAACGATTTTAACGGTATACGAACAAGAACTTCTCTGTATTATAATGCTTTTCTTCCTTCTGCTCTAAGGGACTGGAACGACCTCTCTGCTGAATTACAAAATGCACCTTCACTATCATCCTTTAAGAGTCTTCTGAATAGTGACCTATCTAAATGTCCAAAATATTTTTATACAGGTATCAGAAAATGGCAAATATACCATGCACGCCTACGAACTGAGTGTAGTCCTCTCAACTATCACTTATTCAGAAAAAATATAACAAATTCACCACTGTGTCAATGCGGTCTTCCAGAAACAAATCACCACTTTTTCTTTGAATGTCAACAATACAATAATATCCGAAATATCCTCTTTCACACTTTATCGGCTTATTGTTATGTTACTCTCCCCATATTACTGAGAGGTGATAACAACTTAAGTGACGTCATAAACACCAGTATATTCCAGGCAGTTCAAGTATATATCCGAGATAGCAAACGTTTTCCATAGTCCTTTGCAAACTCTGCTCACTCCGTTGACATACCGAATAGATTCTTTAATAATATCTTGTCCTTAATATAATGTATTTGCACCATTTTTACTGAATCAATCTAATTTTTTTTTTCTGACCATCAATCTAAATATGTTTTTGTGTGTCATTTCACTAGGTAACAGTATTAGCATTTCATGTTGATTTTAAAACATATTATAGCATGATTTCCTATCTAACTTATTTCAACTACTTATTTTTTTTTTACTTTTAGCTCTGAATAGACACTTTTGCCGTCCTCGTCTTTCTTCATTCATCATCAATAAAATGTTTCATGATATACTATTTCGAACATGTAATTTACCGCCGAATTTACAGTAATGAATTATATGTTAGGAAAAGACCTCTATAAGCATTGTATGCTTTCGGATCTAATCCTTTTTCAGCATTGTTTATGTAACTTATGATTGTATGTAATAATTGTTTGTGTGAAAATGTTTGAAATAAAATATGTTTAAACTAAAAAAAAAAATTGAGTAGCTGCAAATTTTGTTAGTCGGTCGCATTACTGCAAACAAACATTTTTTAAGGATGGCCCCGTATAGAAATTTTGTGAACGCAACTCCTCCTAAACTGCAAGGCAGATTTTGCTTAAACTTCCAGGAATGAACAACCTTAGTGTGTAGATGGAAGTGAAGGAAAGAATTTTTGCTGCGACAAAATTTAAGAGAATTATGGCCCTTTGTTGATTTTTTCACTATATACCATATATAGAAATTTTGTGAGCAACCCCTCTTAAACCGGATGGCAGAGTTTGCTTAAACTTCCAAACAGATTGCATACTCTTGTTTACGAGCACATCTGCACAGTGGGGGCATCCGTGTCCTTTGGACACAGTTCTAGTATTGGATTATTTTAAACAGTTTTAAAAAGCAATATGGGTTGAATTGAACTTACAAGCGAATAATTGATAATGTTGATTTAAGAGACGAAAAATTATATATTTTGTGATTACTTCCCCTGTTTAATGCTACTGAAATGTACATTACTTTACATAGAGGATATTTGTTTGTTTTTCATGTAAGATTGTAATATAATTTCACTGAGTGAACACCAGATGCAATATTTTCACGAGTGAAAATATAATAGCTGGTGTTCACGAATGAAATATATTTCAATCTTATATGTAAAACAAATAAATATTCTTTTTATTTCATCCTTTTTAAGTGACTTTAAGTATTTTTTATTGATTTTGCCGTGTAACGTCGCATATTCCCCTTTGTGACACCATCACATCTGACATGACGTCACATCATCAATTTTGAAATATAGTTCTATTAGATTTCTCTTATTTTGTTACATTTTTAACATGATGTATGGTGACATCGACTTTCTTTTCCTAAAGAAGCAAAATTTACGCATGACAGCATTTATTTCTGCCTATTATTCCATTAAGTTATGATTCTCTTTTCATCTGCATTCAGATATAGTCCGGCTACAGTGAAAATTATATTTTATAAATTTCACTAGCGGTTTATCAGAATATAAACATCTGATATATTACAATAAAACACTGGAAAGCATGAAATAAAGTACAAAAATTGATGTGACAATATCAATAGATTTTATTTGCATATACTCGTCCGCGAGTAAAATATTTTCATTTCAAAATTTTATTAAAGCTATAGGAAAAAAACAAACAAACAAAAATTCATTACAGCAGTTTATTGTTGATGAATTTGTGAACTGAATCTTGTTTTTCAGTTGCTTTTAATGAATTATTTGTATGTTGAAATTCACCTTGAATGAAAAATAATTAAAAATCATAAGAAATCTTAATTATTTCTTTAGAGATCAACTTCATACTTCAAACATATGTACCTTACCACCATCCACATCTTATTTGATAAGGTTCATAACTCTAGTACCAATATTGCAAGAATTAACTATATTTTTATGCCCCCGCCATATAATAGCTGGGGCATATACTGTTACCCTGTTCCGTCATTCCATCTTTCTGTCATCATCAGTTTCCGTTCATCATCTTAGTAACCGTTGCACACATTCAACTCAAATTTGGCATATGGATATGTCATTTTCAGTTTCGGTTCATTATCTCCCGAACGGTATTACACATTCAAGTCAAACTTTACAAATAGATATGTCATGAGAAAATGCAGGTCAAGTTCAAATTTTGGTCATGGTTCCATGACTTTGGCAGAGTTATGCCCCTTTAACTTTGAAAACAATATGAATTTTTCAGGTCCCTTTTATTTCCCCAATAGTATTATACATTCACCTCAAATTTTACATATGGATATGTCTAAGGTATGCACAGGTCAAGTACGATTTTGGTCATGGTTCGATGATTTTTGGCACAGTTATGCCCCTTTAACTTTGAAAAAAGGAAATTTTCAGTTCACATTCATTATCTCCCCAACAGTTATACATATTCAACAACAAATTAAAGATATGGATATTTCATAAGAATGCATTTGTTAAGTTCTTTTTTGGTCATGGTTTGATGATAGCTGACAGAATTATTCCTGTTGAACTTGGGGAAAAAAATCAGAAATTTTAAGTTTTCACTCATTATCTTCCCAATGGTTGTACACATTCAACTCAAATTTGACATAAAGATACATTTTAGGAAAAAGCAGTTCAAGTTCGAATTTGGTTGTGGTTCAATGACTGGACAAAGTCATCTTTCTTGAATGTTCGAAAATTTTGAATTTTATGATTCAGCACTCATACCTTTATGGATATGAATGTACCCATTATTTTGGCTACAAATATGCATCACATGCAATTTACAAAGGTTAACACTGAATAGTATCAATGTCTTAAACTTTGTATAAAAATGGTTTGTGTTAACTTTGAATAGTTTTAAGGACTTTGAACTTAAAATGAAAAAAACTAATTTGTGCAAACAAACTTGGATCTAAATATTATAACATCTGAAATTTTGGTTGCATGCGGGGGCATCTGTGGCATGATGCTTTGCCCAGAAGCAAATTAAGCTCAAAGTGACATCATATTTATAGGACTAAATTTCGTCAAGGTTAATAACTAATAAAACAATAAAAAATGAATAAATACATGTAAATAACAAATAGACAAGAGTTATATCTTATGTAAGTAATTTGATAGAATAACTTAATGATCATCAACAAAATATTTATATATATCCAAATAGTATTTTTTACATTTAAGTGAATGTTTTGTTTTCATTTCAGTGCACACTATCAGCCAAAGTCATTTCCTTCAGTGATGAAGAGCACTTCGTGCAGACTAGATATGGAGAGAGAAAATTACACACTGCTGTAATAGCAGATAGTACAGGAAGTGTATTACTACCACTTTGGGGAACCTTTGCAACCACAGTAAAACTCGATACCTGTTACAAAATTCATAATCTATACACTAAAATGTTTAATGGACAGTTGCAGGTTACAACAACGAAAGAAACGAGATTTGAGGTAATTGAACCAATTGAAGATGTCGTTTCAAAAGCTCCAACAGAAAATGCAACACAATACTTTGGTTCAATCTCAATGATTCAAATGGTTAATGTAAAGAAATGTTTATATTGTTTCAAAGTTATCGACATGGACGACACAAGTGTTAGTATAGTCAAGTGCTAGCACTGTAACACAAAGCAAAAAGTGGCTTCTTTGAAAATTAAGAGATACGGCAAAATACAAGTGGACGATGAGGAAAAGGGACCAAACAAATTTATTATTCCATCAGATCTCATAGACTTGTTTTGTGTTGTAAACCGAATTGTCAGTTCAAACGATGATCTCTTTGAAGATTTCATTCTTCAATATGACAAATACATTATTGAGTGTCAGGGCACATCAGATGTTGTTTCAAAAATTGAACTTATTAAAAACAAAGATGCAAGATCCACGGTATCAACAGCTATGGATGAAACATCAAATGTACAAAAATCTGCTGCAGAGGATGAAGATAACGATGATGACCTATTGAAATTAGATGGATGAAGATGACGATGATGACCTATTGAAATTAGATGGATGAAGATGACAATGATGACCTATTGAAATTAGATGGATGAAGATGACAATGATGACCTATTGAAATTAGATGGATGAAGATGACAATGATGACCTATTGAAATTAGATGGATGAAGATGACGATAATGACCTATTGAAATTAGATGGATGAAGATGACAATGATGACCTATTGAAATTAGATGGATGAAGATGACGATAATGACCTATTGAAATTAGATGGATGAAGATGACAATGATTACCTATTGAAATTAGATGGATGAAGATGACGATAATGACCTATTGAAATTAGATGGATGAAGATGACGATAATGACCTATTGAAATTAGATATATAGACAGGGACCGATGGTTTGAATTGCCAAACAGTTTATACTGAAAACCTTGTATAGATAACTTTGTTAATACAGTTTGTTAAACATTAGCCTAATAGAACACAACACCTTGTGTCATTTTTATTACAATGTCTTTAGTTTTTATTAGCTCACCTGTCACAAAGTGACAGGGTGAGCTTTTGTGATCGCTTTTCGTCCGGCGTCCGTCCGTCCGTCGTCCATCCGTCCGTAAACTTTTACTTTAAATGACATCTCCTCATAAACCACTAAGCCAATTTCATCCAAACTTCACAGGAATGCTCCTTTGGTGGTCACCTTTAAAAATTGTTCAAAGGATTTAATTCCATGCAGAACTCTGGTTGCCATGCAACCGAAAGAAAAAACTTTAAATATCTTCTTTTTAAAAACCATAAGAGCTAGAGCTTAGATATTTGGCATGAAACATCTTCTAGTGAGTGTCTACCAAGTTTGTTCAAATAAAAGCCCTGGGGTCAAAATTGGCCCCGCCCCGGGGGTCATTGATTTTCCCTATATGCATATAGTAAAAATTTAAAAAATCTTCTTTTAAAGAACCCAAAGAGCTAGAGCTAAGATATTTAGCATGAAATATGTTCTAATGGGTGTCTACCAAGTTTGTTCAAATAAAAGCCCTGGGGTCAAAATTGGCCCCGCCCCGTGGGGTCATTGATTTTCCCTATATGCATATAGTAAAAACTTAAAAAATCTTCTTTTAAAGAACTCAAAGAGCTATGGCTAAGATATTTAGCATCAAACATGTTCTAATAGGTGTCTACCAAGTTTGTTTAAATAAAAGCCCTGGGGTCAAAATTGGCCCCGCCCCAGGGGGTCATTGATTTTCCCTATATGCATATAGTAAAAACTTAAAAAATCTTCTTTTAAAGAACCAAAAGAGTTAGAGCTAAGATATTTAGCATGAAACATGTTCTAATAAGTGTCTTACCAAGTTTGTTCAAATAAAAGCCCTGGGGTCAAAATGGGCCCCGCCCCAGGGGGTCATTGATTTTCCCTATATGCATATAGTAAAAACTTAAAAAATCTTCTTTTAAAGAACCCAAAGAGCTAGAGCTAAGATATTTAGCATGAAATATGTTCTAATAGGTGTATACCAAGTTTGTTCAAATAAAAGCCCTGGGGTCAAAATTGGCCCCGCCCCGGGGGGTCATTGATTTTCCCTATATGTATATAGTAAAAACTTAAAAAATCTTCTTTTAAAGAACTCAAAGAGCTATGGCTAAGATATTTAGCATCAAACATGTTCTAATAGTTGTCTACCAAGTTTGTTCAAATAAAAGCCCTGGCCCGTGTTCACTAAGAAAAGATCAGGATCAGGATCAAGTGATCCAAATTTTATTTTCATTGTTTTATCGTATTGAAATTAATCGTGCTTTGCTAAAATTAAATGATAGGTATTCAAAATGTAAAAAATTGCCGATTTGCAAAGAAACCAAACTATTTTTGGATAAAATCAACAAATAACAAAACAAATACAAAATTTTTTGGATCAAAATAAGGATCAATTTTAGGATCAGGATCAAAATTTGGATCAGCTGTAAAATGCCCGTATCTTGTAAAAACAACAATAAATTAATTTTAAAATTTCATGAACTTGCTATTGCAAGTCCAGTTCTATCAAATTAATATTAGATATTTAATCTATGACGATAAACAACGAAGAATATTAGAGTTTTCAAATTTGATCCTGATCTTGATCCTGATCCTTAAATCTTTGTGAACACGGGGCCTGGGGTCAAAATTGGCCCCGCCCCAGGGGGTCATTGATTTTCCCTATATGCATATAGTAAAAACTTAAAAAATCTTCTTTTAAAGAACCAAAAGAGCTATGGCTAAGATATTTAGCATGAAACATGTTCTAATAGTTGTCTACCAAGTTTGTTCAAATAAAAGCCCTGGCCCGTGTTCACTAAGAAAAGATCAGGATCAGGATCAAGTGATCCAAATTTTATTTTCATTGTTTTATCGTATTGAAATTAATCGTGCTTTGCTAAAATTAAATGATAGGTATTCAAAATGTAAAAAATTGCCGATTTGCAAAGAAACCAAACTATTTTTGGATAAAATCAACAAATAACAAAACAAATACAAAATTTTTTGGATCAAAATAAGGATCAATTTTAGGATCAGGATCAAAATTTGGATCAGCTGTAAAATGCCCGTATCTTGTAAAAACAACAATAAATTAATTTTAAAATTTCATGAACTTGCTATTGCAAGTCCAGTTCTATCAAATTAATATTAGATATTTAATCTATGACGATAAACAACGAAGAATATTAGAGTTTTCAAATTTGATCCTGATCTTGATCCTGATCCTTAAATCTTTGTGAACACGGGGCCTGGGGTCAAAATTGGCCCCGCCCCAGGGGGTCATTGATTTTCCCTATATGCATATAGTAAAAACTTAAAAAATCTTCTTTTAAAGAACTCAAAGAGCTATGGCTAAGATATTTAGCATCAAACATGTTCTAATAGGTGTCTACCAAGTTTGTTCAAATAAAAGCCCTGGGGTCAAAATTGGCACCGCCCGGGGGGTCATTGGTTTTCCTTATATATGTATAGCAAAACCTTAAAAATTCTTCTTTGATAAAACCAAAATAGCTAGAGTTAAGATATTAAGCATGAAACATCTTTTAGTGAGTGTCTACAAAGTTTGTTCAAATAAAAGACCTGGGGTCAAAATTGGCCCCGCCCCGGGGGTCATTGATTTTCTTTATATGTGTATATAGCAAAAACTTAAAATCTTCTTTGAAAAAACCCAAATAGCTAGAGTTTAGATATTAAGCATGAAACATCTTCTAGTAAGTGTCTACAAAGTTTGTTCAAAATAAAAGCCCTGGCCCGGCCCCAGGGTGTCATTGTTTTTAACTATATGTGTATAGTAAAACTTTAAAAAAATCTTCTTTTAAAAAGCCAATGAGCTATGAGCTTAGATGTTTAGCATGAAACATCTTCTTATTGGTGTCTACCAAGTTTGTACAAATAAAAGCCCTTGGGTTTAAATTGGCCCTGCAACGTTGGGGGGGGGGGAGGGGTGGGTTGGGGGCCTATATACAGGTGAGCGACCTCAGGGCCATCATGGCCCTCTTGTTTTATTTTACTTTCACGGACAGCGATATTTAAATACTTCGTCTAACGCCTAGGTTGATTACATGGCTAAAAAAGCTTTATCGGGAAATCAGAATAACAATGAAGGCAAAACAAATACGGTGGCATTCAGAACTATATGCAAGAAATAAATTAACTTCAGTCAGATTGTAATTTTGATAAATATCTATCAGTTTGTATTTCAATTCTAAGTGAAGGCAAAATAGCAATTGTAGTTAACATAAAATGGTTAAATTCTTAAGGAATATTTTGAAACATGTGATCACCTTACAATATTCTGAGGAGCGTCCGTGGTAAAGATCATTGACTTCACCGCTGTGGGTTCGGATCCAGACTAGGACTTTGGATTCATTTATGTGAGTAAGCTATCCAGCTAGCTGACGGAACATCGATGTTCCTACTCAGGTGCCCATTCATGCCTAAAATAATGCACGGAAGGGCACACAACGTCTTCCTCCACCAGTGCCATCTATGCTGTGTCGTGTGACGTAAAACCAAATTTATCAAACAAACCAATATTCTTCACGATAAAATATTAAAAATATCATTTTGGAAGCTTTCAAGTGTTAATTAAATCTGAAATAATGCATAGAGTGGCACCAGAGTGTCTCTTGAAGGTCGCTATATGATATGTTCTGTGTTGTTGCGACCAACCAAAATGTTTTCTTTTCTTTGAAGACATAATATAATATAAGCCTCAGCTTGAGGCACCAAAGTTAAAGGAAGACTGCATTTTTTATTTGAATTTTAAGTAATTTTTTTTAAAACATTAACGATGGACACGTTTAATTTCATGACTATTACTGTAAAAAAGTTTATATTACAGGACGTCCAAAAACGGTTTGTTATACCATTTTAATATTTGTTATGCAATAAAGACAAATCAATGCAAATCTTAAAAATATTATATATATTTGTTAAAAAACTTTGTGCAAGCTAAAATGAAAAATGTACATACGATTTAATCGAAAATATATCAAGTGTTTCTAAGTTTGTGTAAGAAGGTCTTGTAAAATCAAAGTTTAATACATAAATAAACACGTTTTGGATGGTTTACATCGAAATATATATGTATATACTTTCATATAATTATGAATTCTAACATGATTAATTTAGGGAAGTTACGTTTGTTTGTTTTGTTTGTTCGTTTCATTTTACGCCTTTTCCCAACAGTATTTCAGTCATATATGCGGGTAGTTCCCTAACCATCGTTCCTGGAGAGTTACACCAGTACTAGACTACCTTCCTCCGCGCTAAACTACCAAAGCATCTCCCGGGGATCGAACCCACGCCAGAGAGGTAACTGGATTAGGAGTCATCGACTCTAAAGCCTCGACCACGGAGGCGGTTACGTAAATGAATAATCATT